TTGACGGCCCGGACGGAGACGTGAGCGAAGGCGAGCCCTGGCAGCGTCTGTCGTCACCTGCTCCCACGCAGCTCCCTTGCTCTTCAGCACGTGGCACTTGGGAGGTATTAAAGCAACGGGGGTGCCCCGTGCCTTTCCCGGGGCCGGGGCCGGGGTGCTCCCGGAATCTCCGCCCTGAGCAGCCTCTGGTCTCGGCCTGGGGGTCGGGCAGCCCTGGAGTCACTTCGGGAAGATTCTGCCCACAGCCAACCTGCCGTGCTGACTCACTGCGATATTCCCGTCTCCTGAGCAGCCGGGACCGACGGGTGCGGCGAAAAGAGGGAAAGCCCAGGGCGTTGCGCTGGTCCCCCCGGCTTCGTTTGCCTGCCGTACAAGCGAGAGCCCCAGTTAACTTCCGCCGGCCTGGGCAGCAGGAGTGCCCCGCCTCGCTCCCAGGATCCACATAGGCACCGACTTTCCTTGGGATATACTAAGGGCACGTGTGCAGTCCCGCCGCAGGAAGCCTCCCCGAGCAGCCCCGTCACCTCCCAGCGCCGGTGCTCGCCTGGGAAGGGCGTTTGTGAGAAGAGGAAGCCGGAGCCGCTCGCCTCACGCCCAGGGCAGGAACGCAGTGTGTTTGCTATTCCCCCCCGGAGGTGAAGGTCCCCGAGGAAGTTCATCCACGCACGGCTCTGACTGGGGGAGCGGTGGCATTTCACACCCTCGTTTGTCACGGTGGGGCGCGCTGAGGAAGTTCATCCACGCACGGCTCTGACTGGGGGAGCGGTGGCATTTCACACCCTCGTTTGTCACGGTGGGTCGCGCTGCGTTTTTAGATGTGACCGACCCCGAAGGCCCCAGCGGTCGTCACACCGGAGCTGCGCTGAGTTGTACCACCGTGGGGTTTGCAGAGCAGCCCGGCTCTGCCCGACCCAAACGCATCTCCTCCTCGTCAAAGACACCACGAGCTCCCAAAGCCGTGGAGCGCGAGGGACGCTCGCTACACGTGGGTGACGTACAGACTGCGCCGACCGCGACCTTGTCTCGCCCGGGGACAGAAAAGGGGGAGTTACACCCCTTATTGAGGCGCAGGAGGTAATACCGACTGTCCACCTCGGGGGCAGCGTATGGGGTGGCTTCTTGGGAAAACCACGGTCCAGAAGGAACCGCTGCTTCCTCCCTCGGACACGAAGCCGCCCGGCCGGCCAGGGGAGGGGAGCCCTGCGGTTCCTGCGTCGCACGTGCCGCCCTTAACTCCCACAGGGACTCCTGTTCTCAAACGGATTGAACTCAAGACCAGGAATTCCATTTGGTTAACGTAGGGCACTTGATTTTATTCAAAGGGCGAGATACAAAAGAAGTAAGCAAAAAGACAAAACCCAGACTGTAAAACGCTACAGACGAACGTCGGACGCCTTCTGCCACAGCACACAACAGGAGCAAGAACAGACTGGTCCCCACAACCAAGCCAGCGGGTATGTACAGGCAGAGATCAAGAGGGGACGAAGGGGGGGGCGGCCACTTCAAATGTCTATTTACATGAACCGGGTCAAGGCAGTTTTTCCTGTTATTCAAACCAAACGCTTCTGCGTTTCTTCTTCCGGACGCGGAGGAGGGACCCCGTGCTCTGAGGCACGTTTGGTACATTCAGGTCGGATCTAGAATGAGCCACAGCTAAACTCCGCTGTGCTGCTTCAGGCACCCAAGCTCAGCCCCTCGCTCCCCTCGGCCCTGCTGCTGCCAGGCCCCTGCTCGCAGTGGCGCAGACAGGGCGAGGAAGAGCCCGATTCTGCGCTGTCGCGGTGCCTTTGGATTTCAAACCACAGCTCAAGGAAGCCTACCGCGCCCCGGCTGCTCTGAAGGCTCCCACCGCGGCGCGATCACGCGTCGTGCCTCAGCCACACGCTCCCTCCCACCCGACTGGGAAACGGCCCGCGTGACCCTCGCAGCTGCGCAGCGCGGAGGGGTTGAGACCTCACGGAAGTCACGGGTGTGGAGGCCAGGAGGGTGTTCCCCCGCCAGCGGCACGGAACGACCGTCCAGCCAGCAAGACCGTGCCAGAGAGGAGGCGGCGTGGCCTCCTTGCGAGGACAAGGCTCGGGGCTCTTGGTCACAGTACGCCGGCACACAGCACCTCCTCATCCCAGAAACCCAGCAAAGAACGGGCTGTGGCCTTTCGCCGGCGGGAAGCACCTTTCAGACAGGATGTTCCACGAGCAGCTGCATCTCCTACTGCGTGTGGAATATCCTTACGAGCAGCGTGGAATTCATCTGAGCTGCTGGGCAGAAACTGAGTCTGAAGTTCTCTGGCAACTAAAAACCCCCGAGACCGACGGGCGTGCGCTTCCCTTAAGCCTCTGCAGACGGAGAAGAGTTACCGCAACCCAACTGAATCCGGACCAAAGTACGTGGGAACAGGCAGCTGCTATCCCAAACGGCAACAGCCTTTATCTGTATTGACCTGTGGCTCCGTTTTACTGACAGGGCTACTGAATTGTTGAACACCTCGGCGAGGAAGGAGGGAATTCCACTGGCTCAGTAAGCAAAACATTCATTGGGGAGAGCAGAAGAGTGACTGGCTGTTAATAAATATCACAAGACATTCTAAAAGTTTTCTAGGGGGGAGAGAAACACCGTCTGTCCGTCAGAAAGCAACGCGTCCTGACAGAGTGAGGTAAGGAAAGCCGAGAAGAGTCCTTTATACACTCTCGCTTCACACAGGCACGGCAGTAAGGACAATGGACTCCCGGCCGTGCTCACCAGAGGAATTCCTCCGAGCGAGCGGCTCCACGGCATTCCCGGCACTCAGCATCCCGGTGTCCCACAGCAGCACCACCTTCCAGCAGGCAGTTCTGCGCCCCTGGGGCAGTTTGCTGGCGACACGCAGAACGCCGGGGCGAGTACTACCTCCACGTCTGACAAACGACGGATCTGTCACGAGTTTTAATGCCTTAAGTTACAAAGAATAAGGATTTCTCTATCACAGCATGAAACCAAGCGGCTCCGCAGTATCTGTGCAGTTACACCCGACACGGGAGCATCGGACTTAACATTTCTAACTTAGACTCCCATTCTTTGGTCCTCGTACACAACTTACTTCCATAAATATTTAACAGCCTGCAACATCGAGCTTTTACCAGCTTAAGGGGGATGCCTGACGTCCTGTTTGCCGGCAGACGGGGTCAGCTAGCGAGTCACCTCTACAAGGCCGGGTGAAAGCAATGCCTGCTGCTTCTCTCCCGAGCGGAAGAGGAGGAAAAGGTCTCAAAGCAATTCCCTTGCAGGGCTCTTGGATGCTGGATCCCACGCTGACAAGAACACAGGATGCCACACGGCAAGCTGGGGGGGGACGGGGGGAACCCTGCCTTGGAGTTTCTCTTCCCTTAAGCAAGCTGAGCGGGAGGAGGAAGAGGAGGAGGAGGAACTGTCTTCCAACTGCTAGCAGGGCACACACATTGGTTCTTCCTGAAGGACAAGTCTCTCCAGGCGCAGCAGGGAGTCTGCTGGCCATGTTTAGGAGGTGGCACGGAACTGCTCCGGGTCAGAGTCTCACAGGCAAACGCTGAGTAACTACAACGCACTATCTACTCCTTTGCTATCAGACACTGGCAACACAGAGCCTCTGTAAGCCAACGGCCTGAGTACAGTGTTAACAAACGTCCACGTGTTGCTTTCGAGAAGCTGCTTCCAGGCACGCAGATTTCACTCCCACTGCAGAACTCAGCCTTGGGCTGATGCTGAGGCTGAATAGTTACTGGGCTTGGACAGAGTGCAGAATGCAACAGGCACAAAAACACCTCGGTCTGAGCAGCCCTCTCCCACTGCTCGCGTCACCCCGTGCTGGGAGAACGGGGCTTGAAGGGCAGCGCCCAGTCCCCAAGCACGGCACGTGCCAAGCCACCCTCCGGAGCCGTAAGGGACCCGCAATGCTCCCCAGCACCGGGCAGGCACCGCTGCACGCCCTGTAGCGTGTTTTTATGCTGTGTGGGGACAGCTAATTCAACACCCATCCAGCTGGCAGGAAATTCACCTTTTTGGATGAGGAAAAACGTAACTAACTGCCCGCTAACGACTCTGAAGGAGTCGGCGTCAAGCCCTGAAGGCGTATGTCCTGTCCACTTTCCCACGCTCTGCAAGCTTGTTATAAACTATGACCAAGGTACCTATTTCTGCTGTGTTTATCCAGCCCTTTTCAGCCCCTCCAATTACACACCAGCTGAATGGGACGCACGAACTGCTCCTCAATAACCCAGCGCCTACGCAGGGACCTTGGCGAACGCAGCGAGCTGCAGGAAGGGAGCGTCAGCGCCGTTGAGATACACGGCAGAACCTTTCTTCTGCACGTTCAGACGAGCAAGCGACCTGCCGCAGCACAGAGCCGGTTGTTGGGACGTGATCCTAGTGCCACAGTGCTCAGTCCAGGGGGGAAAAACCCTCAACTCAGGAAGACATCTGCTTGTAGAAGCCCCCCCCCAACAGCAGCAACACCAGAACACCAGCACGAGCCGGGCACGGTCCACGTTCCTCCCTTCCCCGCTCCGGTGAGTGTCCGTAGCGTCAGACACTGCTCCCACGGACACCCGGCAGCGCCAGTTCCACCGTCTGCGTGGGCACAGCTACGCTGGTGTCACACAGTGCGTCGTGGCCACCGAGCCGGGGAGATTGTCACTTGCTAGGTATTTGGCATAGACAAAATCCACCCAAAGCAACACTGGTTTCTTGGCACGTTTACCAGGTGCCTGAAATCTAGGAGGTGGGGACGGGTGGGCTGGATTCCCTTTTGGACATGAGGCAGAAATTGACCCCAAATGCTTGTTTACAGCTTCGTACACTGTTAAAATATCTGAACAAGCGCGACCAGCAACAGCTCCTGTTCCAGGTGTATATTCTGGTGTCCTGCTTCACTGCCCGAGAGCACGACAGGTAACTCATTCAATGGTTGCTCATCAACGTCGGGAATGAGCCACACCGGGTAAGACACACCACCTTTACGTGGAGGGCCCCTTACCTAGAAGGCTCGGTAATCCTTAAAGAAAACCATTTAACATCTTTCATGGAATAGGTCTAGTGTTCAAAAAAACCCAAAGCTACCGACATAGCACGTGGAATCAACTGGACAATCACTAATGTAACGGAATTACGCTGATCTTGTACACAAACAATGATTTACCAAAATAAGATTTACCTAGGGGACTTTAAAATCGAATTATTTTGGTACCAAAAAAAGTCTTTCATTGAATCCCCCTTTGCCCCTATGATTCAGATGATCTTTCACTCTACAGTTACGGACTTGGCCAGATTTCTTGGAAAATCAACCTGCAGAGAGGGAGGAGAAAGAACATGCTTGTGAGTATTTACACACTTGGTTTGTGTATAACTTCGTAATGCATGGAATGCTTGTTCTGCACCTCAGCTGAAAACGACTGAATCAGACTCATGGAATGGTTTGGGTTGGAACGGACCTTAAAGACCATCCAGTCCCATCCCCTGCCATGGGCAGGGACACCTTCCACTAGACCAGGTTGCTCCAAGCCTCATCCAGCCTGGCCTTGGACACTTCCAGGGATGGGGCATCCACAGCTTCCCTGGGCAACCTGTAATGTACTGGATGCATTTTTGTGTTAATTTAGGATAATCGGTGCAGAAAAAAATCCCTAAATCTCAAAAGCTACGACTCCACTGGCAAGAACTAAGGAGTTAGTGCATTAGTGTAGGTGGTGGCAGTGCTCAAATGTGGAAATGCAGAGGCCAGTGTCTGTATCAAGACCAACTCACACAAACGGACTCTGTCTGTCAGACATCCTCCTGCGGGTCGTTCCCTTCCTTCCAGCTTCCTGCCAGCCTCCAGTAGCCATACGCTCATACCAGAAAACAGACCCGTCTCCGAACTCAAGCTGCACAAGACTCGGCCGAGCATCCTAGCCTGCCTGCGAGTTCCGCTCAGGAGAAGCTTCTGCCATTGCCAGCTTCCCCATTTAACCTGGGCGCTCCCGTCGCTCAAGCAACTCTGCAGACAGCCCCCAGACCGCCAGCAACATGCAACGCACCTCCCCCAGAGAGCACACCCAGGTGCCGAGGGGAAGGAATACCGTACTCACGTCATATCCTCTGAGAACTGCAAGATGGAAAGCCAGGAGCTGGAGAGGGATAACGCTCAGGATCCCCTGCAGACAGTCCACCGAATGGGGAACTTTGATCGTTCTTTTATTGTTCTTAATTGTCTCGATGTCCTCCTTGTCACAGATGACGACGGGTCGCCCCTGCACCAGAGGGAAACACTCAACAACAACAGGTCTGGAAGGTTCTTTTCTCACTTCTCTTCAGAGCGCCAGCAGCAAGAGCTTTTTACTGAATTCAGAAGAAAACGGCTTAGCATCCACGGGCAGCCTGAGCGCGCGCCGAGGAGTGAACATACCGCACGAGGCCGCTGCGCTCTGCCGCAAACATCGCGCTCGAAACGCCCAGGTTACCGACAGGAGCTGCATTTCAGGCAGCGACAGTAAAGCAAACGGTTTGGGTGCCCCGTAAACTGCTTCCATGTTCAAACAACGTTCCTGGTGCTCTGTAAGCCTGCTCGGGTACCCACCTGCCGCGCGATGACCTGCTGGAGCGCGTTCTGGCACTTGGCGTAGGTGTGGTCTCTCATGATGATCATGATAACGGGCATGAGTTTGTCTACCAGGGCGAGAGGGCCGTGCTTCAGCTCACCCGCCAGAATCCCCTCGGAGTGCATGTAGGTAATTTCTTTGATTTTCTAGATGGGGAAGAAAATCGTTCATGAAGCTCTGGGCAAAGCTCTAACTTGTATTTAAACCACCCCTGTGGCTTTTTCCACTTTCTTTAACTCTGTAAAAATGTGTCCTGGCTCTCCTCAGACCCACTGCGACTCCAGCCAGCTGGAAAACCCAGGCGGGAGCAGTGCACCCAGGCGGAGTTGCCTGCAGGCCATCAACACTTGCACTTCTAACACCACAGGCCTGACGATCTGCCGTCAGCCAACATGTCAATTGCCACAGGCTCGAAACGGGCCAGCAAACGCAAAGAGGATGCGTTTGGTGGCAGTGGGTGACAGTGCTTCGAACAACAGGCATCTCCTCGAAGGTGGAAACGGCAGTAGGAAGGTTTCAGAAGGCATGTGCTCAGTTCTGGATGCTGAGCATCCCTAGAAATGCCACCCAAAAGTTCAAAGAATGAGCTCTCATCAGGGTGCCCAGTCTGTGCCAGTAAAGCGTTCCCGCTCTGAATGGGGAAACACACCCTTCAACCACCGCAGCCCGCGGCCGGTGTGTGACTCGGGTCTCCTCAAGGTGAAGCCTCACCGGTGTCAGGTGAGCCGTAGCTGTTTGCCCCAGGATGGCAGCCAGCACGCCGCAGCCCTTAGCTGCTTTTACAACGACTTGCAGCCACCCGCCGCTTCCTGTGCTACAGCCTGAAGCCCATAGCTAAGTGTGTTCGAAGCAGCCTGGAACAAAGACGTCTCTTACCAGAGCTCCCTCAAGACACGTGGCATAATGGTAGCCACGTCCCATGATGAGAACAGACTTCTGATGGTACAGCTCTGTGGCCAGCTTCTGGATCTCATCATCCATGCTCAGCACTTCTTTAATCAAGTCTAGAAGGAAAGAGAAGAATTCCAGTTGGGTGAAGTTACACGCCCGCGCGTCCCCAGCTACACACACACCGGTGAGTGACTTCCACGAAACCGGTGTCCATATGTTTTGGCCCTGCAACTCAGGGTCTGAAGCCATCACAGACAACACAGCAGAATGAGTTACTGCCGAGCCCACGTGGCTCAGGTCCCGTCCCCTCGTTTGGGAGTGCTGATGGATTTCACCCGGCAAGCCGCAATAAACGCAGCAGTTTCCTACCTGGCAGTCCCTTCAGACCACGCATGATCTCCTTGCGCCTTTCCTGCATAGAAATTCTGTCATCGCACATCATCAGAGCGAACATCACCAACGAGACAAACTGGCTGGTGTAGGCCTAACGAGGGGGAGGAGAGAAAACACATAAGGCGCTAACCAAACGTTGTCAGCCGCTACGTAAACCCCATGGACTAGCTGCTGGCTATTCCTAACGTGGAACCAAATGGCAGCTTCCATTCCCATCAGGCAGCAAAGATGAACATGAAATGCACAGGGCAGATCTCAAACGGAGGCACCATCTCCCTCTACTCCGAGGGATTAAGATATGACAAGCAAAAGGAATGTTTCTAAGCCTTCTCTTGTTCAGCCTGGAGAAGGGAAGGCTCCAGGGAGACCTTATAGCACCTTCCAGTGCCTGAAGGGGCTACAAGGAAGCTGGGGGGGGGACTTTTTACAAGGGCCTTTAGGGACAGGACAAGGGGTAACGGGTTTAAACTGAAAGTGGGGAGGTTTAGATTGGATATCTGGAAGAAGTTCTTCCTGGAGAGGGTGGGGAGGCACTGGGACAGGTTGCCCAGAGAAGCTGTGGATGCCCCATCCCTGGAAGTGCCCAAGGCCAGGCTGGATGAGGCTTGGAGCAACCTGGTCTAGTGGAAGGTGTCCCTGCCCATGGCAGGGGGGTTGGACCTAGATGATCTTTAAGGTCCCTTCCCACCCAAACCATTCTGTGATTCTATGACAAGACTCCCTGGTGACTCCTAAACCCTCTCATGCGACCACACCCGAGTCCTTTACTGCAGCGAATGCTGTGAACACCGAGGACAGGGAGCCCCGTGGACTGGGGATGAGCCCATCACCACCATCTGGCCATTGCACCAGTGAGCTGAAACTTTCTTGGACCACATTCAAGGAACTCAAAGGCAGGTGAAAAGGTGATTTCCCACCCCACTCCTCCAAGAGTGGGTTCTGTCCCTTCCTAAACAGTGACCAACCACACTTTGGTGTTGCTGCACTGGAGAGGACTGGAACAGCTCTGAAGGAATCCAGAAAAGCTGCCGTGACGCCAACCTGCAGAGCCTGATGGGGAATGTGATCGACTTCGTCCTGGCGCAGTTGGAGGTTGCACAGCACCGCACAGCCAGGCTAACCACGCTCAGGTTGTGTATAATCTGTTCTCAGAACAAAGTTCTGGACAACCTTAGGGCGGAATCTTTCCAAGTTCACATTTCATACACGCACGAGGAGGTAACTCCCCACATCACCAGACAGAAAATGCCATTTTCCGTTATCGCCAAACTGTACTGTTGGCCATGTGAAAACAACCCAGGGACAAACAACTCCTTCAAGAGTTTCTTGTAAGAGACTCATGAATTTTCCATGATCAAATTCCCCAGTGAACTGTTAAACTCAAATGTGGTTTTTGGCTGAATTTATGTAACAGATTGACATCATCTCGCCTCTAAATATAACTAAATCAAAGCAGATTTCACCGTGCAGAAGCACTTCATCTAAATGAAACACAGCAAATTGAGTTATTTTATGCTGTAACGTGCATAGCCAGATGCATCAACCACTGAATAATTCTGCTGGGTGGACAGACACTGGCTTGCTGTGAAAGACCACTCCCCATCTGCCAGAAGTATAGTCTGAACAGCACGCTTACGCGCTGTCGGACTTCCCGTGATCTGGTCTTTTAATCTCCTTTTTCATCTTTAAACCTCAGTTTAAAACTGCACCTTGAGATAAATGATGGCAAAGAAAAGAGAATTCTTGCCTCTGAAGAATTCTGCCCACTGAGACCCCTTTGTTTTCCACGTTTAATATTGCTTCCTTATGTGTCATTTTGCAAACAAGTTTTAAACAGCCTTTTGCAAGACACAAGAAAAAGAAAATTAAGAGTGTTAATTAACTGGGCACATGGTCATTAACTACACGGTCATCAACAGCAACCGGTAAAACAGGAACAGAATGCATTTAAGAGAGGACCCATGCTACAGAAGCACCCTCAGTGAGAGTTTTAGCAGTAGGAGTAATAATAATTAATAATAATAATGAGGGAGGTCTATCAACTTGCTACTTACCTTGGTACTGGCGACCCCGATCTCTGGCCCCGCATTGATATGGACTCCGCAGTCTGTCTCCCGTGATATGGAGCTGCCAACCGTGTTCGTTATGCCGACGGTTAAGGCTCCTCTCTCCTTGCAGTACCGAAGGCCCATCAGAGTATCTGCTGTCTCACCTGAAACGGCAGGCATTGACAACTCGGTGTCAGATGCAGCAGAGGTAAAGCTGCAGTCATTTCCCTAACAGAACCTAGAGGTTTGTCTTTGCCTAAAAGTCCAAGGAGTCGTTAGTTGTTTCAGCCCCCGCAGGCTGCGTTTTAACCCTAAAAAGGCGACTGTGAACTCTAGAAAACACAAAACCCAAGAACAGTACTTGGTGTACGGGAAAGTCAGCGTTCTGCTCTGATTAAAAAAAAGGCAGTTCAAGTGTCACTTCTTTAACAGAAGAGAACTTTCTTCCTTTTCCTGGTCAATAAAACGAGTTGGGGTGAAAACCCGTAGCAGGGACACCTGGGGAGCAGCCAGCCGCCGTGCAGACCGGACGCGGCGGTACAGTCCCACCGCTGAAATCCACAGAGTTGGTTGCTGAGGGCACCCACCAACACCACGAGCGCTTGTGAAATCCGGTACCAGAGAGGTTACGTCTAAACCGAACTGTCCCCGCTCCGAACCGCGCCGTGCAAACACGACCTGGCTCAGATCGGACTTCGCCTAACGCCCTGCTTCACAAGCAGCAGGAAAACCTGGCAGCGATGCTCCCAGCAGTGCAGTTTGTGCGCTGAGCTCCAGGGCTGGGTCTGGAAACAGAGGCGCTGGAAACAGAGGCTGCCGTGTATTCCACCCAGTGTTTCCCGCTTGCTTTTGCCGTGCCCCGGGTCAACTGAGGCCGGAGGGTCTGCACCCCCAGCCGCGCTCCGGGTCAACCAGGATGGGACGTTTTATAAAGGGAAGAAGCAACATCTGCACGTGGGTTCCAAAAACCAAGGGAAAACACCACGGTTTACATGAGCCCCCTACAAAGGGAGAGTATTTGGAATTACCTGATACTGAGAAAAGGTTGCAACTAAGAGTAGTTTAACCTATGGAGTAACTACTAGTTTTAGTATCAAAGCCGAAGATCAGTTATGAAAATCTACAACGGTAAATGCAACTAAAGGGAGAAATCTTTAATTCTGTATTGCAGCCGTCCTTCAAAATACGCTGAATGCGACATACATCCCTTTTTTTAACGCTTAAGTGCATCATTATCTCCCATTCCATTGCCAGGTGGTTGTAGTTGTTGGTACTTGCATGTAAGAGTGTCATTGCTGTTCGGGATCTGCTCCTGCACAGAGCTCAGCAGCTGGCGGCACCTGACGAGAGAACTGGAACCACTCAAACCCACTCTCGAGCTGCCTTTACCCAGAGCCCAGCAGCATTTTCTTACTTTGCAGACTGATGGAATATGTCCTCCCAGAGCAGGAAACAAACCTGTTGTTACCACGTGTAAAACTCAGCTGACACAATCCCGCACCAGCACACGGACGGGAGAACCGCTCCGTTTTTCCCATCCCTAGTTACGGGGGAGCCAATTTCCTCCTCGTCTACCACGTGCAGTCCTTCGGGCAGGCGCCGGGATCTGGCCCTGCGGCCTTTTGCCTCCCAAACGAGCGCTTACAGGAAAGATGGGAGGGAGTGGGTGGTGAAGCGAGACCGTACCTGACTGGCTGATGAAAAAGCAAACATCGTCTCTGAAGACGGGGGTGTTCCTGTCCAAGAAGTCGCTGGCTAGTTCAACCATAACAGGTAATTCAGTCAGTTCTTCCAGAACCTGACGGGTCTGGTAAAAGGAGATGTCAGAAAGTAGCGTATTACGTCGCATTTAAAAAAAACCTAAGGGTTTGGAGTACAAAAACGCCTTCTGGTTGCCACATGCTGCAAAATATTACTGTCAAAACACCATGTGAAAATTGGTGCTGGGTTATATTTTAATTACTCCATAAACCCACACTCTAGTCGTGCAACTGCCCCTGTGAAAAGCTACCCTGCTTCTGGCTCCACGAGGGCCTGTGAGGCCAACTCCCCGGCACACACGGACTGTACGTATACGTAATATGGGTGTCCGTCTGTCAGGCTGTAACTCCTCGTACTGTCGAGCTCAGAGTCCACCACCTGTACCCAGGCCAAGCTGGAAACTTGTTTTGGCTACTCACTGGACTCCCGTTCACATTACCCCCCAGGGCTGGCCAAGAGGAACACAGACCTTCTTTGCTGGTCCTTGTCAGTCGGAGAACATAGCGGTGTTTGCAGCACTGCTGAGCGACTCCTCTGCGACCTGGCAGAGTACTTTTAATTGCAACACCACGGGCTGCCAAGCTACGATCTAAAAACGTTTCCTCTGCAGCCACCGCGTTTTAACCATCGATTAGCCAGAAGCCTTTAACCGACGCTCAACAGCGATTCCGTAGCTGTGACAGTCACGGGCAATGTTCTCGTAATATTCGAGTTCTACAGCTTCTACTTCCCGCTGGTGTGGCTGGTGAACTGAAAAGTCTGGTGTGTGCAGCTGTCAAGAGGGGCCGGCTGATCAGCATGCACTCGCTCCACCTTAAATCAATCCCTAACCTGCTCGGCACACGCGACACTCTGCCCGCACTTGGATTCGAGAACTGTTCACAAACAGATCGAGACTGGCCACTTACTGCAACTCCAGCGTGGTAACTCGTCCCACAAGCGATAAGGATTAAACGACGACACCTCTGAATCTCCTTGATGTGATCCTTCAACCCACCGAGATTTACTGAAAGCGAGATGCAGAGAGGAAAATTAGGCTGGCCAAGCAGCAGAAACCCTCAAGATCAGGGTGCTAACGCACAGTGTGTTACCGTCTCACACCTCTGCCATGGGGACAGACTGAGAGAGTTGGGCTTGTTCAGCCTGGAGAAGAGGAGGCTCCCGGGAGACCTTATAGCACCTTCCAGTCCCTGAAGGGGCTACAAGGAAGCTGGGGGGGGCTTTTTACAAGGGCCTGTAGTGACAGGACAAGGGGTAATGGGTTTAAATTGAAAGTGGGGAGGTTTAGATTAGGTATCAGGAAGGAATTCTTCCCGCAGAGGGTGGGGAGGCACTGGGACAGGTTGCCCAGAGAAGCTGTGGATGCCCTATGCCTGGAAGTGTCCAAGGCCAGGCTGGATGAGGCTTGGAGCAACCTGGTCTAGTGGAAGGTGTCCCTGCCCATGGCAGGGGGGTTGGAACTAGATGATCTTCAAGGTCCCTTCCAACCCAAACCAGTCTGTGATTCTATGATCTCCACCAACCACTCCACAAAAACCCATCACAGAATGCCATCTTGCCACCAGCACATGTAACTCTGGAAGCGCTCCCTGCGAGACACGCGTATCATCTTACACCAGCGTGTTTTAATCTCCCATGTCATCACCTCCTTCCTCCTCTATAACTGCTGCGAATAACTACCAGATCCTGAGCTGTCAAGAATGAAGGAGGCGCAATCTCAATTACCGGTGTAGTCATCAAAGTTGACCCTTCCTCTCATCGTATTCACGACAGACTCTGGCTGTTCAAAAATCTCCTTCTGCATAAATGAGCTGAAGTTACCTATAAAACAAGGAAGAAACCAAACAAATGAGAACACTTTAAAACTACGGCCTGGTGATTTACATTTTTTCTCTGCACACAGGAAAAGCTGGGTCCGGAGGCACTAACAGGCTGGTTACCAGGCAGAGGTTCTTAAGTGAGACTTCTTTTTCTGCCGAAGCATCAGCTCATCGTGAGTGCTAGATTCAAGTTCCTAGAACATGTCCATGAAGGGTCAGAGCCGGGATGGCAAACCTGCTCGGGATCCAGCTTGGGAAGAATGGATGCCTCCAAGCAGGAGGCAAATCCTCAGCCCCACAGCTCTCCTCACTACCTCAGCCCCACAGCTCTCCTCATTACGGTGTTTGCAGCCAGAGGGAAAGTCCCATCAGAGGTCAGGACAACTCTTTCCACCATGAGGGCAGTAAAGCAGGTGCTCAGACAAGCGGAGGGATTTCAGAGAACCTCCAACCTCGACCTACCAAGGTCCTTTAACACTCTGATCTGGGACTGGACCAGAGGTCTTTTTCACCTGACTGATTCTGTCCTCCAGGCAGGACCTGTGCATCTACCCAAGTGACATCCAAGAGTTTACCCTTCATAATCTGCTGAAGTTCCATCTGCAGCGTTTGGACGGCGCGTCCAGGGTGATCGCCCGCTGTGCGTTTAATCCGGTGGATGGAAAGACGCCCGTCGACCACAGCTGCTACGTCGTCATCTTCAAGGAAAATCACCCTGTTGGTGTGCTCGATGACAGCGCTGTAAAACACACGCCATTCACCACAAGACATTCTTCTTCACAGAAAGAGGGCTACAGCCCCATTTACATACAGCTTTTGAGGCAAGAGTTACTCACTTCAATGGAATCTCTTTTAAAGTAAGAGGAGTGCTGTAGAACACATTTCCAATGTAACTGGATTTTTTCCACCTAACTCATGATTAATTTCAGTGCCTGCTTTAAGCAGAAACCAAGAATCCCTCAGACAAGGCAGCATGTGCAGCAACGGGACCTAACCGTCAGGAGGACAGCAATCTGCCCTGGCACACAGGGTGCTCAACTGTTGGTGCAGATTCCTTTCTTGGTTTTTCCAGGGATAAGCCACAGTGTCCCCTCACATCTCATTTTCCCATCTGTAAAACCAGGGACCTGCTGAAGTACTACGAGATCTCCTAGATGCGCTCCAAAAATTAGGTACTATTGGATACTGCCCACGGTTTGCTTGGGGAGTGTCAATCTTGGAGCTACCAGTGGGCTTTAACATCTTTGACCGGGTTTTAGTCTGGACTCGCTGAGCTGAGCAAGGCAAGAGGTACTGAAATACATCAGCTCCCCATTTCAGTCGCTTTGGGCAAGTCACTGAAAAGCTCTCTAAGGTCCAAACACCTCAGGGTGTCCTGAGACTCTCCAAAACGCTGTGTGGAGAAGAGCTGCACAAGTCAACCACTGCATTTCTGGAACAAGTATTCATTTCCCTAATACAGAGGAAACGAAAAGCTCTTGGAAAGGCTGCTGTCAGGTTACACCTTCCCTCCCTGCGCTGGGATTAAAATAACTCTGATGATAAAGGAATTGCCTGTGTGCAGAGGTCCCTGATCAACACAATTCTCCTGATAATTAGCATCTGCCCTGTTAATTTAAGGCGGGGCTCTCAGGTTTTCTATCACTCACCTCTGGAATCTTATCGACAGCTGTGCTCCAAGGAGGGTAACAGCACAAAGCCAGAGTTTGTTTCTTTAACAGAAACTCCCGTCTAAGCCACCTCCAGCTCTTTCAGGGCCGCAGGAGGCAACTAGTTAATGTTGTAATGTAACGACCATGCATCCAGCATCTACTGTCACCCAGAGCCCCCCACCTCTTGTCCACGACCTCCGCGTCAAGGGGCATCTGGAGGTTTTAGGTAAGCCATGAACCGTTACCTGGCGTCAGAAGCAAAGTAGTACTCCACAGCTTTCTCCTCAACGGGGAAGAGGCAGGTGGTACTGTCAACACGAGACAGGTTGCAACTCCCCTTCTTGTCTTTCCCTAAAAGAGACGAGGATCAGACACGGCACGGACGGACAAATCCGGGCGCAGCTGCAACGTCAGCCCCAGGGCTCGGCACCACCGCGAAGCAGCGTTTTCACCGCCCTCGAGGTCCCAGGAGAAGGAGGGTGGCCGTGCCCTTTCTCAGTTTGCTCGCGAGGTTTGCACGTGCTTTGGAGTGAAGTCTGCAAGCGGAACATTGGCGCAGAGTTTTAAGTGTAGAGGAAAACACCAGTAAAACTTCAAGGGAAAGTTTACGCGTGGCTCCACTCGCAGATCTCTCTACGAGCAGCCACATTCACCTCTATTTTCCTGGTTGAACCGGCCCCGTTTACCATTCTGAGTTTCTCCTGCTTCACCAACTTCCCCAAGGCCTTCAGGAATGGAGCAGGACTGCTCGCTCTGCCCAATTATTCTCAGCACCAGGCAAATCCTTTCGGAGCTGCCACCTGCACAACCACGCCGTTTCACTGCGCCGGCAGGTGTAACCCCAACCCGGTTCTGCCTGCCCGAGCCACGCGTTCGAACGCGGAGCAGGAAACCCGGGCTTGGGCTCTTGGCGTTGTTCCTGAGCGACCAAATACAGCCACCGCACCCCAAGCCGGCACTTGTACAGCCGGTAAGCGGCTGTGAGTCTATGGAAGGGGGTGCCCAGGTCCCCCCTGGAGGACACAGCTGAGATCAACCTCTGAAAAACTTGAACTAAAGCCTTTAGAGTGGTGCAGCGTTTCACCGGGGCCCCTTTCTGACGTGCTCTGGCGACTCCCAACATTCCCTAATCCTCCGCCTCCTCTTTAACTGCAGAAAAGAGTTCTCGGTGGCGAAGCTCAGCAG